TTTACCATCAAATGATCAATACTAGTCCTGAAATCATGAGATCATAATATTAGTACATAATTAGAAAAGGTGAGTTTTGATAGCTAGCCTTGGAAGCTTCACAGGTGAAGTTTCATAATAATAGTGTACAAGTCATGAGTATTATTGACCAGTCTAGAGAGAGTAGAGAGTGAGAGAGCCATTTAATTTGCATCAGAAATGTTATCCCTCTTTGGGTTTATCTTTAAGTCGACTCTCACTTGGTTGACCACTGACCGAGTATCTTATCACCTTGCTTTTTGACTTGGTAGTCGGTATGTATACATTCGTCAATAATATTCTGCTCCACCTTCTAAAAACATAATTAAGTAGCTGCTTAATAAGTTAATGTAATTTAAACTCGGAGTATATATGGTTGGCACGAGATAAAATGCTCTATCATTAAAGTTATAAGTCCTCACAATTTTAATTATCAGAGATTTAGAGAATTGAAAAATTGCTAATAACCTTCCCATTATTGGCATCTTGAATTTCGAGTTTGTGTTGTACTCATATGAATGAATTGAATTTGTCTTTGTTTCTTCTTCTTGTTGGTTCAAACTTCGAATTTATACGTTTTCGTTATATGAAAGCACCAAGCAACCAACAATACCAATGACAACACGATAGTAAAACTATAAGAAAAGAAACAACCTCACAAGGCAACACAAGAGGCAACAAATGAGTGAATAATACTTCTTCTTACATGGGTGGCAAGAGAAGAGAGTGCATGGGCTCAAACATATACTCTTACACAAATGAGCTAGCCCAACATTTCTCGGACTAGTGAGCTAGCTCAAGTGTTTGATTCAAGTCCAATGTTTTAAATCACATGCCAATAAGTTGTCTTTTTCATTTCAAAATCGCGCTCTTGATGCAATTTGTGGTACTTAAAATTCTACAATTTATGGACATTAAAATTCCACAATATCTATAATTATGTTTATGGACATATATCAAGCATTGGGAAGGGTGGTGGGGAGAAAGATGCTCCCTTTTTCTTTTGGGGGTCAATGAAAGAAAATTAAATCAGATATTGGGATTGAGAATCCGTTGGCTGATTTATCATTTATGTGGTTTAGGTTTTTTATTCAAGTCCAACTTATAAAGTTGACTTTTCCATTGCAAAATCGTCCTGACGTAATTTAGGGCACTTAAATCCCCCAAATTGCACAATCAATGGAATTGACTGATTGAAACGAAATGAATATCACATTTGATTGAGAATTAGAGTAGAGATGACTGCCTCATTTTTTGACCAGCCAAAGACTGCAGACCAAAATCATGATATTAATTATATGTGCAATATCTAACACGTGAGCGGAACATTTCTCAAGTGCTTGATTTAAGTCCAATTTCAAGATGCCACATATATATATATATATATATATATATATATGCATATGGGTACAAACATAAACATGAGATGAGTAGTGATGAGATGAGCAGAACGAACCCACATACCAAATTAATATCTATAGCTAGACCTAGACCTAGAACGAACAACCTATAAACTTTCATCACCTCTACAGTCAAGGACGGAACCATGAATTTTTTTATAGGTTGATTAATATTTTTTATATAATGAGATATTTATTATAAGCTTATTTTTCTATATAAATAAACATCAAAGTAAACACATATTGTCAAACATCAAACAAATATTACATTACATAATAATAATAATAATAATAAACGAGCTGACCTAGTAGGTTCTTCCGGAATTGAAGTATCATTACCACTTTTTTTGAAGAACGAATCAATTGTGAAATTGATACTTAGGAGAAAACGGTAAATTTAAACTATAACCAAAGTGTCAAAGGATAGAATGAAATCAGTGTTCCTGAACAATGTATGACTAGTCATCAACTAGTCACAAACTTGAGATTACAATTCAAAAACCGTACACATACAACAAACAATTACCAAATCCCTGCAGACTTAGAAGAAAACTAAGTGACAACCAAAGCACTCAGAACAATTATCATATGAATTAATTGAATTTGTCTTTGTTTCTTCTTTTTGTTGGCTTAAACTTCGAATTTATACGTTTTCGTTATAATGCAAGCACCAAGCAACGAACAATACCAATGACAACACAATAGTAAAACTATAAGAAAAGAAACAACTTCACAAGAGGCAACAAATGAGTGAATAATACTTCTTACATGGGTGGCAAGAGAGTGCATGTGCTCAAATATATATTCTTATACACGTGAGCTAGCCCAACATTTCTCAAATGTACACTCTCTTAAATGGGTGGCAAGAGAGTGCATGGGCTCAGGAATCACTGCCTCATATAAGCCTCCGTCAACTCTTTTCATTGACGATCTTGGAGAGGAGTTCGAAGTGCTATATATATTCTTTGACAAGAAACAACGGCAGTAAAAATATATAAAATCAATGCCGCAATCTTTTAGATTCCCATGTCTTGATATATATCCTGAGAATAACAAATGAAAATGACCATTGTGAAAAGATAAAAAGGGGGGTGTAGATGGCATATCTGTCGTAAAAAGTCGCACTGCATGCACAAAACTACTTCAAAAGGGCCGACCTCCATTCCTCATGAATTTGACTGTTCATGTGCTTACAAAGTTACAAGTATTAATACAAAATGTTACCATTTCCACTAAGCTAATCCCAATGCCCGCCACAACTTAATCAAAACAAAATAACTTAACCTTGTAACCAAACAGAAATTAAAATTAAATAGAACTTACCTTCCAAGAACGTTCCCGCCGATTCCAACTGATGAACTCCGGCACCAACTCAGTCTTAAACTGTTCCAACTCAATCCTGCCCTTCTTTCATCCGTCCTCAACTCACCCACCTTCACATTAGCATCCTTCAAATCAAACCCAGTTTCCTTCTTCACCGACTCACCAAAATTCTACCTGAACCTCGCCGAATTTACTGAGTCAGACTCACCCATACTCACCTCGAGTAATTATCTTATGACATAGCAATGCACAATAATAAATGTACAGCTTCAATGAAGAACATTTTAGTTGGAGTAATTATCTTATGACCACATTAGCTCACCACCTTATGCGGCTGCTGATGTGGTCAGGCCATGTCAATTAATCAACTCTACCATTTGGATTATGTTTTACAATAATTAAATTGTAGTAATTGTGAGAAATTTTGCGGCTATCTTGAAGCCCCTGGGGGGTTGTGGCCAAAAAAGTTTACGTGTTGAAAAGCGCAATTTACCTTAGTTCTTATGTGCGTATGTACCAATACCAAATATATATGTAGTGATGGTAATGGCATTGTGATGGTGAGCCCTAAGTATTTGAATAAGTTAAAACTTAAACTCCAGAACTTGAGATAATCTCAAACAAGTAAGGGTCTAGGGGGATATCAACCTACCATATAAGGAAAAACACCAAGCATTAACAAGTCAAGCGATAAGATAAATTGAAAAGAAATTCGTAAACTTACAAAATTCATAGTAACATCCTATATTCTTTTTAGGTCCTCACTATAAATTCACTATTAATTCTTTGGCTTTGTCGAGCTTTCTCACTATTAATTCAGCATATAGGTGGAAAATTACTGGTGACAAGATCAATGGGTTGTATTTATAAACATATCAATGTGATGACTTGCAAGCTATGTTGAAATATTAGAGGTGGTCATGGATCTGTTGTTAATTCAAGTCTTAATAATGATGAACTTCATCAGTCTCTTTCTTTCAATGAATACTTTGAGCATATTAATATAATACCTCATTATCTGAAGCTTTAATTAATTAGAACAAGAACCCATGTCCATTTTAATTCAAAAAGTCCAATCCAATCCAATTGATCTAGTGGCATAATCCGATAATTCGATTATGTTCCAAATCTTGAACCTGTTAAGTTAACAATACAAATCTGAATTTGACCTAATCCAATTCAATAATGATCCGATCCAATTGATATACTATTTATTTTATTTTTACTTACTAAATATATATATATATATATGCACTTTTCATTGATATAAATAATTTATTTATTTGTTATATTTTAAGCCCAATTATGTTCAAATCCATTAAGCCCAATTTTACATCCAACTAACCTAACTTCACATCTAACTAATGCTAAAGCTAACTAATAACCCTACCTATTTTTTGGGCAAATTAACCCTACCTATCTCCCACTCAAAACTAGGGGTGGGCATGGGTTGGGTTGGGTTGGTTTTAGTCCCAACCAGATATATACCGATTTATGGTTCTTTGGACTCAAGACTTGCTTATTATTAGACCAACCCAACCTAACTCAATCCAAACTTTTGTGATTGGGTTGAACGGTTTGGTCAGGTTTACTCAAAATTAAGTATACTTTTAAGTTTTGGTTCCAACCGTATCCCAACTCGTACATAATGGTTCATGATTCTTTGAACACAAGACCTGGTCATTTTTAAGCCAACCCAACCAAACCAAACCCACTACGATCGAGTTAGATTGAGTTTGTGAAGCTAAAATAGTAAAGTAGGGTATGCCAACAACTAAAATTATAAAGAGCAAAATAGTTTATGAAGCTATATTTTCTATGAGAGACATTTTTCAGTAGTTCTTTCTCTTCTTCAATAGTAAATATTAGTAAACATAATGAGGTAGGAATAAAATGATTTTTTTTACTATAAGCGACAATTTAAATTACTTTAAAATTTTCTAATTTACGGGTGAAGGGGATTGATATATAGTGTAAAAGGGACATACACCCTATCTTGACCAACAAAGCCTAATCCACATATGCGAAATAGAATGAAAAATTTAGAGAGAGATGAGTGAAAATGAATATGGAAAAAAAGAAAAAAAGAAAGAAAAAAGAGAGAGGAAAGTTCCCTATAAAAATTTGAAAGAAGAGTGGGTCATTTTGACTCAGGCCCAAACCTCGATTTACGAAGACTTGATGGATCCACTAAAAAGCCTGGATCTGTCAATGGCCCACCGGTTCGGGTTAAGACCCATTCAGGAATGTGGGTCGCGGACTTTTTGCTGTAAACTGAAAACGAAGCCGCGAAGAGATGAAAGGAGAGAACTTGTTTCTGCAGAAAACCAGAAGGCATGTGGGCGGCAGGAATCTCTCTCTCTTTCCCATTTTACGCATACCCGAAACCCATTAACAGTCTCCGTAGCTCTGTTTTAAAAAGTACGGGCTCCAAGTCTTTGAAGCTCAAAGCTTCCTTCTTCGACTATCCACTGGCAAGCAAAATATTGGTGAAAAGTATGTATGCCTTTCATTCTAAAAGCTCAGAGCTTTCTTCTTCTTTCGATGTTCTTTTTATTTTTATAAAAGGTAATTGTATGCCTTTTATTTGTTCTTTCTATGTTTTCAAAAGGTAATTTGACTGATTTATCACCTGGGTCTTGTTCAATTTGTGTAATTTATCAAGTGGTCTGGCTCTTGTTCTGGGTCTGCTGAAATTTTGTGGTTGTGATATAATTTATGAAGTTAATCAGTTCGTCTTTACTGAGCTTTGTTAGTTTATTATCTGGGTGTTCTTGCTAGTGAAAGTTTTGATATAGAGCTGGAGTTTAGCTATTGTTTAAGTTTGATTGATTTAAACATCTTACCTCATCTCAATTGTAAATTTCTGGAGTCTTTTTGTTTCGTTCTCCTGTGAGTGTACAAGTACGTTACTTGGTAAACTTATTTTAACTACAAATTACTTGGATAAAGTATTAACAAGTACCCCAGTTTTACTTAGATGTTAAAAATTGAAACATTATGGGGAAGTATAGGAAGTGCTTTAATGAAATTTGGTACACGGGAGCGAGAGAAATGCAAGTGGGGGTTCAAAATATATGAAAATAAAATAGTTTAGAAGAGGTTATTGATTACAAGATGAAGCGAAGAAATCAATTTCGCGAGACCTGTACATGAGAAGTAGTTAAGGGGATCAATCTGATCTGTATCTGAAACCGATGATGACACTAGAGGATAACAATGAAGGCAATGAAAGACGTATTAAGATATGGAGAAGAGATCCACTAGCTAGGCTGAATGCAATGAAAGATGATAACCCCAGCTAGGCTGATAGTTGAATGCAACTGTTGAACTAGCCAGGAATGGGTTGTTCTACCATGTTTTCACAAAGAGATGGTAGATGTCACAACAGCAAGTTCTTCACTGGCGAATGGATTCTTCATTCTAATCATAGACGTTCGTTTTAGAGCCGGTTATGTACCATATGGTATAGGTTGGTAGCAGCTATAGCAACTGCACCATAATCACCAGTTACTAGTTCTAGGCTGTTTCTTTCTTTTTCTGTTTTGTTTCACAGATGTGTTAAGGTATGAATAATTGTTATTTGTTCATTGCATAGTCACATTCCTGGTCCCCTAACTCATTCCTCTTATTAATCATCTACTCTGCCTCTCTGCAAAAAGTAAAAATTCAGAAACTATCATTGTCTCTAGTTATTCAAGTTCTAACTGTATTATTTGGGCTGCAGATATACCGTATTCCACCAGTGAGAATAGTTTGCAGGAGAAATTTTCGAATTTCGGCCAGATAGCTGAAGGTAAATATCTTGTGATCCAATACATTTGTTCAAAAGGCATTAGTTATGTCGGATAGTCTGCTCCACAATTTGTTCCAATACATTTCTCCAAGTCATATAACTGTATTCACTTTGTCTGTCTGGCAGTTAAACTAGTCAAGGATGAAACCTCAAGAAGGTCCAAGGGGTATGCGTATATTCAGTATACCAGTCAAGATGATGCTATGCTTGCCCTGGAAAATATGGATCACCAGGTTCTACCTTGTCATTTCTCTTCTGCATTTTTATCTCAGTAAATATCACCCACGACTCATTTGCTTTTATTTTTATTTTTTATCAGAATCTCGATGGCAGGATTATCTACGTAGAGCTTGCAAGACCTGGGAAAGATGCTTATGGAGAATACCCGAAAACCTCTGGTCCCCCAAAGAAGCCGGATTTGCAGCAGCAAGAGGAAGTTTCAGACTGCTGGTACTGAGATCTTGATAGGAAACAACAGTACACGCTCGATCTGTTAAAATTTGATGAGGAGGCGGGATGCAAAAGCAGATTTCACTCCTGCAACCCAATGGGGCACAAAGCATTAACATTGTGGAGCTATTAGCCCAAGGGCTGTGATTCTGTGAATGTCATCACTGTATACTATAACTGTATGTTTGGAACAATTTGGCTGTGGTTGTAAACTCCCATCCAACTTTGTCAAAAATACACCAATTAAGATCCATCATAGGATTTGAAACCAATTAACCGTTGTTAATCACAAGCGCAGTCTCATAAAAGGTGGACACTAGTATTTCTCGTAAACTTTTAACATAAGTTGAACGTAACTCATAACAGAAGAAAATGTTCTACTGACAGGGCTGGCAGGGCTTCTCTACGTATTTTATTGGATTGAAGAAGAATTTGAGTTTTCTTCCCCGTTGATTTTCCTGTCAAATTTGCCTAGTTTGACTAATCTAAAGAATCAATTCAACGTTTGTCTGGTTATAAAATACATTTTCCCTAAGGTAGCAGGTGAAACACACAGGCGCCATTGATTTTTTGTAGCAAATATATGTAGAAGAATTTTAAATACTAATTATTAATTAAAAAGATGACGAAAAAATAAAAATAAATTTGAAAAGTAAAAATAACTATTCTTTTGGCTGTAGGGACATAAACCTAACAACCGTTTTTAATGAAATTAAAACAACAACGTTAACGAAGGAATAATCGAACTCTTGAAGAGAAACCTCTGCGTAGAAGGGTATTGTACGTTGACGTACAAGACTGCAACACAAGTGGTCCTTGAGAGAGAGGGAGCAAGAGGCTTTGATGCTCTCTGTTTTCTCTGAAACACAAAACCAAACAATTTGCAATTGAGGGTGTGAATGATGGAGGATCAGAAGCAGACTAGTGAGGAGCGACCAGTGAGAGTATATGCAGATGGCATATATGATCTCTTTCACTTTGGCCATGCTGGTTCTCTCGAGCAAGCCAAGAAGCTGTAACGCATTCTCTCTCTCTCTCTCTCTTCTTTTTCTTTTTTTTTAGTCAAATTCCTTGTTTATTTCTTGAAAGTCAAGCAATTTTCTTTCAAGACTTGAAATTGTTTATGGGTTTTGGTCATTGTAATTAGATGCGTAGTCTCTTGAAGATTGGTTTCGTGATGTTATTGAGTTCATGATGATCTTGCTTTCCTTCTTCGTGTATCCATGTATGTCTGTCTTGGAATTGGAATTTGAGTTCAAAAAGTTTATTCTTTGTTCTTGTTTCTGCTTTTAGTAGTAAACTTGATATGTGAACCCTTGCTTATGCTTCTTTTGGTTTCTAGGGTAATATATACTTAATGCAGCTTGATTTAGTTTTTAAGTGTTCCATTTATGTCTCAATTATAGGTTCCCAAACACGTACCTGCTTGTTGGCTGCTGCAATGATGAAACTACCCACAATTATAAGGGCAAAACTGTTATGACCGAGAAGGAGCGCTATGAGTCACTCCGCCATTGCAGGTTGGTTATTACATGAGCCTAAATTTTCAATCCAGTAATTTTCTTTTTCCTACTCTCTATTAGGTTGCAACTTGCAACTAACACACAGAAGGGACGGATAAGAAGTATTTGTTAATCTTATGCTTATTTCTATTCTTGTGTGGACTTAGAATTCATTGTTATGAACATTTCTGTTGTTAGGCTGCTTGCGTTGCATCTAATGAAAATTGTTTAATTTGTAGAAATTAGCTTTCCTTTTAAAGCATCCTGACCTTCCCCCCTTTTGCTAATTTTTTCATGGGATGGTAAAATTATTGAATACTGTATTTTCGCATCATCACTCCCAGTTGGCTACTCTTACATTTTTTTATATGTAAATGTGTTCCTAAATCATTGTCTTGTAATATATTTGCTACAGATGGGTGGATGAAGTAATTCCCGATGCACCATGGGTGCTCTCACAAGAGTTTCTTGACAAGCATCAGATTGACTATGTGGCACATGACTCTCTTCCGTAAAGTTAACCAACCCCAAATAAATTACTTTCATGAACTAGATCAAGTTTTGAAATGTTTGAAAAAAATTTATTCTTGTTTTTATTTCTCTTCACTTCATTATAAGGCGATAAAGGATTATCATGGACGTGGATAGAGAGGGGTATGTGCATTTTGATTTGGGGCAGATTGCGCTATAATGTTTTTGGGGCACTTGTCGTGTCCTAATTGTGTTTAGGCTGTTCATGACAAGACCTTGTCAGACGACTGAATTCATTTGCACATTTGTGATGTTTGTATTTGGTTCAAGATTTTATCTCCATATAGTTTGACTATCTGTACTATTGGAGATAAAATCATCTTCTTCCATGTGGTTTTCAATTCATCTTATTCTTTTCCATGGAAGTTTATATTTTTATACCCGCTGAAGATAATCATGTATCCTTAATGTGCTAATTGCTTCTTCTTTGTCCTAAAATTGTAGCTATGCTGATGCAAGTGGGTCTGGAAAGGATGTCTATGACTTTGTAAGTGTTAGTCATAGCTGAACGTATATGACTGTTTTCTATTACGGATATTGTTAGGCCTCCTCTACTCCCTTGTGTCTGTCAAGGGTGTTTATTTTCTTTCTTCTTTTGTTCTTTGTAGACCATGATGTAAGTTATAACCACCCTTTTAATGTTGACTGCACTAGATTCTGGGTGGCAATAGAATATTTTATATCTTTTTAAGGCCAAATTTGCTTCTAATTTTCTTGATATTATGTTTTTGTTATCCATTTTAACCCTCTTCTTTCCCACTCTGAATCTTATGTTTCATCTTGCTCTGTTTCAACCAATTATTTAAGGATTGTGTATCTGTGGCTCCCTAGTGTGAATACTTCCAGCCTATTAACTTTTGTAGTGGTTCTTACTTTGTTGAATTTTTTTTCTATCATTATTTGACTATTATGCAGGGCTTGTTTCATTTTTATATACTTACATAAACTTCCAAACAGGTTAAGTCCGTTGGAAAGTTTAAGGAAACAAAACGGACTGATGGGATTTCTACATCAGATATCATAATGAGGATTGTTAAAGATTACAACCAGTATGTGATGCGTAATTTGGACCGTGGGTACACAAGAAAGGAGCTAGGTGTTAGCTATGTGAGGGTATGCTCTTGTTTATATGAATATCTTATGTTCAAGTGGTCATTTTCTTTTCTAGTGCAAGTAGTGATCTATATCATCCTCATTTCTTACTATTTAGGAAAAGCGACTGAGAGTGAACATGGGACTGAAAAGACTGCGTGAGAGGGTGAAGGAGCACCAAGAAAAAGTAGGAGAGAAGGTATGTATCTCGTGATGCTTAATCATTTTTGGCCCCTTTTCATATGTATCATTGATTATGAGTATCTGGGACTTTAATCCAGGAGTGTTATTCTACTACATGGAATCTGTTCTTTGATATATGCGTAAATAGGCATGCACAATTAACATTTGGTACCCCTTTGGCTACGCATCATAAGATGTAACCTGGATTCTGGTTTGCTTGGGTTGTAGTGAAAAATGTGATAACTTTGCACAATGATCCTGAGATTAATCATGGAAGCAGAAGAAAATAATATTAATGAGCACAAAAGTGTCTACAGATAAACGAAGGTATTTGAAAAATGGCCCAAGTTGATGTCTGTTACCCTGCACAGTTAAGGCTCCGATAACCTATACTTGGCCATGGCTATCAGTTTGGAAGTTCCTTTAATAACCTGTATAATTGGTGTTTAATATAATCTTAAACATCGTTAGCTTTAAATGTATGCACTTCCTGGTGGAGCTTCACATTGAATAGATTGGTTGCATATATCTGAAAACAATGCATATTTATTTTAACTGATGATAGTCCAAAAAGAACTGGAAATGTGTATTGCCTTTGGTCTACTTTTTCCAAGGGTATTATCCCTTCCCTCATGTTCATCTATTCAAAGGTCTTGTTCTGGCTGGAATATATTCTGCATATTTCTGCAATTAAAGCATATTTTTATCTTTCTAACAGACTATTGGACTTAGTATGTCTAAATGATATATGTGCTTTGGCATTTTGTTTTGTTTTGTTTTTTCCCTTCATAAATTTGTTTACAATGCAAAGTGTTTTTCACATATTACTGATTGCTTGAGAATAGAAAGTGATTTGGACTCCGCTAGAGTGAACTTTCAATATCTGAAAATATTTTGGCCTCAGTAAGACTCACACAATATGCTTGCTCACATTTAGTTCCCTGACAATGTGACAATCTTGTTGGTTTTGCTAAGCCCATGTTATTTGCTAACAGAATATGACTAATAAGTAGTTGATTGGTTTTTTCCTCTGTTGTTACTGTGCAGATACAGATAGTAACAAAGACTGCTACAATGCGTCGTAATGAATGGGTGGAGAATGCTGATCGATTGGTTGCTGGATTTCTTGAGAGGTTTGAAGAAGGTTTCCACAAAATGGTTGGCTCTCTCTCAGTTTTGTTATATGACTTACGTTTTGTATGCACAAGCTGATTTAAATATATTTAGGGAAGATATATTTCATTTGCTTTTACTTCTGTAAAACTTGTCGTGGTCTTCTATCAGGGAACAGCCATAAGGGACCGAATTCAAGAGCGAATAAGGAAGCGGCAGTTCGGAGGCCTTTTATATGAAGAAGATGATGATGATGAGTTCTACGACGACTCTGAAGACGAACGCAATGATGAAGACGAAGAATAAATTTATTCTTGTTGATGTCCATTGGTTAGGCTGAAATACTTATTTATGGTATTAATGTAGAAGTAATCTAAGATGAATTCCAAAGGCTAAGTTTGTGTAACAGCCTAAAGTAAGGCTTGGATCTTCAAATACAATTATTAGTAATCTCTCCTCTTCAAATACAATTTTTAGAAAAATCTCAAATTGTGCAAAAATCCTACAAGTGATGTGATGTGGTGGGTGGTTTTTTCTAAAGGATCTCATTCGAGTTTCCACAAATTGATATTTTCTTGTTTCCGAATCTCTCACATCACATGAGGGTGATACCACCATCAGGAGATGTTATTGAGCATTTTGGATTATCCTACTTTGCTAGCATAGGTTTCCTTGCAACTTGCAAGTGTAACAAAACGAAACTCATCCCTACCTTTTTCTTTTTCTTTTCCATCATTGGACATAATGTGATCCCTCTCACCTCTACACATAGTGAAGTGGCTTGTACTTGAGAGAGAGGGAGAGAGAGAGAGAGAGAGAGAGAGAGAGAGAGAGCTGAGGACGTGTAGTGCTAGTGACTTCCTTGACAGCATGTTATTGAGCATTTTGGATTACCCTATTTTGCTGCAAGAAGCTCAAGAGGGGTGTTTTAACTTCGATACCCTCTTCTTCAGATGGAGAAAATTTAAATTCATCGATAAACAATTAATATGGTGACAATGCTACGCCGGATGGACATAAACTTACTCAACTTCTGTTTTCAATTCAATTGTACTTCATAAAGGGGGAGGGGAAAACAAATTCAGATTGAAATAATTGGATATACTATATATGCATAAGGGTTATCAGAGCAAATCAAAGTAAATGAAGAGGAGTGAAAATACAGAGACTATAGTGGATATTAGTACAGTACTAAAGCTGCCAGTGCTGGGCTTTAGCATAGGTTGAAGCTAGAAATCTCAATGGCAGTATTGGCTGCAATATTATTATTATTATTATTATTATTAATATTCATCTACCTGGGAAACTTTAACTTTGTTGAACGAAGATTTAAAGGTCCCAAAAGTAGCTTTGGTTAAGTGTGAATATAATTTTAATTTCATGACAAACAAAAAGTATGGAAACAATAGGAGAGCTGCCATAGTTTCATTATTAAAGGTGAATTATTCTACCCAAACACATACAAAATTCTTTCATTCTGAACCCCGTAAGGAAAGAATGACTCACAAAATCTAAGAAGACAGGAAGAGAAAATAGTAAAACCAAATACAAATATGAAGCTCAAAACAAGTTCACGAGTTTCTGCAGAACAGATCCCATCTGTGATTTTGAATTAAGCTGAACATGAGCTCCTAAGTCACTTAGGTTGTGACAATTTCAGCAAGAGAGGGCATGGAGCCACTGGACTTGAGCCTATGCCTGCAAGTAGGGCAAGAAGAGTGGTGGAGCAACCATTTGTCAATGCATGCAACATGAAACCAATGGTTGCATTTGGGCAGGACCCTTATCTTGTCCCCATCAGAAAAGTCCACCAAACAAATAGCACAACCGGAAGAAGAAGATGATGATGATGATGGAGAAGTGTTCAAATTGGCACTATAAGTTGAAGTGGGCAAAGCTACCATTTCCTCCTTCTTAAGCCCTGAATTAAGCCTGCGTGAAGCTACCCATTGGACCGGTTCGGTGAGGGCACGGTTGGCACACTGAAAAACACATTGTAACATGGAATTGAGGCCAAGAGCACATACAAAAGCACAGAAAATGGCTGCCAAGATGACCATAGAATTGAGATGGTTTTGGGGTTGGAGTTGATCATGATGAGGGTCTTGATCACAGAGTGTTCTGATTGAGCTTGGACTAGTAACTGGAGGAATTGGAGGGGGTGTTTGAGCCATGGAGATAGAGATGAAGTGATGGAGATAATTGGGAACTTTTGACAGTGTAGTGGTGGAGAAGATAGAGATGAGAATTAATTAGTGGAGAGGAGGGTTATGCAATGCACATAGTTGATTTTACATGCTGAAAGGGAGCTTGCATTTGAGGGAGAAAAAAGCAAGTCCAGGCTAAGGATGAGTTAATGGATGGAGGGTGTGCAGAGTAAAATATATAGAGGAATTTTTCGGGATTATTCGACATGGTGTTACAATTCATTTGTGTCATATCATGTGTAATTTCATTGTTTACACATATTATGACACTAGAAATAGTAACATCACATAAAGTTGTTATTATCACACCTTAATTATTTTTTCCATGATACATGGGAAGAATGGTCCTCAAGTAATGGAAGGTGTGGAGAGTAAAATGATAAATGAGGAAAATGGTGGCATGTTTGGATATGCTTACTTGGCAATCCACTGTCTTCTTTCTGTTTTGTTTATGCGCTTCAAAGATATGCCAAGGTATATCTATATATCTCCCTGTGATCTATCTAAAGAAACCTTACCCATTCTTATTGGTTCTTTCTTTCTTTCCATCAATCAACTTGCACTAGACATCAAGGTCTTTTGAAAAAGTAAACCGACGCTACTAGGACCTTTCCTGTGTGTGAATCTTTTATCCTATTTCTTGATTGGAATTTCAATATTTCAAATGGGCTTCACTTAGAGCATCATTAGTGGGGGGTGTATTTTCAAGGGTGTAAAGCTATTTTTACATCCCTTTACATCTTCGGAAAGTGTATATGAGTTTTTTTTTTTTACTCCAATAGAGAACATTTTTGGGCTTTTGGATCAAGCTATCGGTTGGATTTGTATAGAATGAATCATGATCGTCCACTTTAAAAGGAGAAATCACAGCCTGCAGGTGTTGGAATTTGTTTCCAAATTGAATCAAATATGGCCCACCACAAGACTTTGTATGACGAGTATTATGTAGTTGCGCGTGCTGGGCAAGTTGGAAGTGTGATTCAACTTTAACCCTCTATCCTCTCTCCTCCTTTCTAAGTGATGGGGCCCGTTCCAAAAGTGTTAAAAACATATATAAACATAGAATTTTTTTAGCATCTCCGGCATCAAATGCAATTTTACAACCTTTAACATACTCCCACTGCATGAGTTTCCAGCCAAGAAAGATGCATATTTAGCATACATCTGGATTTACATGCGACCATTGATGATGCTCTTAAGGCTCTGGTCTCTTAGAAGGTTTATCTTTTCAAAACCTGGCCAGTCCTGAAAATTCAATGGCAGGTGAGCCTTAGGTTGAGTCTTAGGTTGAGTCGGACTTGAAATAAAATGCTAGGCCCCGCCCATTTTGTAGTAAGTTGTGATAGCAATGGTTAACCACGCATGTGGGCCGCAATAGCCGCTAATGAGTTATGAGTCCAATTATTATCAACGCCTTACAGTAACTCACAATTCACCACGAGTAAACTCATATTGAATACAAACATTATCCAAATAAGATCCGGGATTATTAAAATAGCACTCGCGTGCGAAGAGTATCATATCAACAGCATGATCAGTATGTAAAAGCATTTCGAGGCTTCTGTTGTTTTCTGGTTCATGCCTAATCTTTGTTTCCTTCAGATAGTTTTGGACCTCCCAAAGTCCTTTTCCCAACTCCAACAACCTTCTTCCAACGTAGAGTGCCTGTCTTTTATTTGTAGTTGCCTTGGGCAATTCAACCAAGCTTTGACAATTCACTGGTCAAGGCACTAACATCCGAAAAAGGAACATCACAGTGACCACCAACATTAACTAATGCTAAAGAAATTTAAATAAAAACTTAACCACCTTCAAAACTTAACAAGCATGAAATTTTATTACAATCGATCTCGGTGTTATTCGTTATAAAATCAATTGTATATTATTTTGTCAAATTTTCGAACTTACGTTCTTCAACCATCTCATTTGTATAGTAGAGAAAAGTTTGGTACTTCAGATATCATTTCTTTCTTATAATCACAGGGCAATATAATGTACAAGCAATAAATAAATAAATGCATCCAGCTTCTCATCTCTTACATACATTTTGGGAAATCTGCCTCCAACCATATACATTAATTAGGTCTACTGGTGAACAACCAGAGAAACCACACCATTTACCACCTTCTCACTCTCCACGACCACCACATTGTTTGACACATTTGTCACAGCATGAGCTGTGAACTTGGGCTCTCCTTTTGTATAAAATGAGTACTGGAAATTATTAATCCTGTTGGGAAACACCAAAACAGAAGAAAAATCAGCCACCCATTTGGTCCCATTGCCCTCCACATTCAATCTCCCCACCGTTGATTTCAACCCCATCCCAACCACATTGTTCTGATCAATCACCACTTGATCAATATCCCCAAACTGCCCCTCTAGCTGGACAATTGGAACCTGTGAGCTCCCTGTAAACATGTTGTTCACAATATTTAGCCCAAAAACCTTGCCATTGACAGACTTTAAGACTATATTTGCATCACCTAAGAAGAACCCATTTGTCACATGAACTTGAACGGGGTCTTCCAAGACTATGGCATTGAAATCCAAGTAGCAATTATCCAATCTGGTTTGAGAGTTTCCTGCCAATTTTACCAAAATGCCTATGCCACCAAACCCTGTGGCCTTATTATAGCAATGTGCTCCAGTGACCACGTTTGCCTGGCCCCTCAGCATAATACCAATAGCAGCCGAGAATATTACAACGTCAGTAATGGCATTGTCATTGCTGGCAAGGTCAATGGCAGTGCCTGTGAACTCCCTCTCACCCTTGTCTCCTCCAACCGTTGAGTGCTGCCCCAAGAAGGTGTTTGATATGAAGGTCTCGTGGCCTTTTTGGACTAAAATGCCTTCTGTTGTGAAGTGTAGGAAGAAGCAGTTGGTTATTCGAATTCGGGCCGAATCGACGACAAAAATGCCTCCTCCTCTGAAGCTTGAATCGAAGAGAATGTCTCTGAATGTGATGTCCTCATAGTAGATGCCTACATTATTATTGTTTTGGGCTTTGTCAAAGAAGGCGGCATTGCTGGTTATGGTGGCTTTTCGCTTGAGTTTTTGGGAACTTGGTGACCATAGTTCAATGAGATGGCGGTCCCCTGGAAATGTGGATGAGCCACGCAGAGATCCTCCTTGTACCTAAATAATAAAAATGACAAGAATTTAATTAATTAAAAATTACTGGGAAAAAGGAAAAGGTTAATTTGTCTAAGAAAAAGTAATGGTACAAAGTAAAAAAAAAGAAATGACTGTCCGACTCTGACATGAAAAGAAAGCTCTAAAAGTCGGTGCACAAACTACAAAATGGCGACGTGGCACAAACCCATTTCGTCAAAAGCTTAAAGTGCGTTTGGTATCTTATTTAAATAAGGAAGTCATAAACTTTGATTTTTCTTGAAAATAATGAGTTTTTAAATATATTTTTAAAACTCAAAAACTTGTTTGGTATGCAATTTGAAAACTGTTTTTATATCTTTGAGAATTTGTAGGTTGTTAGAAAAAAATTGAAAAAACAGATATTTTTTGTTTTTAATAATTATAGTATTTTTTAGTTGTTCTTGAGTTTGAGTTTTTGAAAATAGGGCTACCAAACAAGTTTTTTTTGTTTTGAACTCAAATTTTGTTTTTGAGTTTAAAAAATTAGATTCAAGTTGAATACCAAACATGCTCTTATATTTATTTATTTATTTAGAATATAAATAATTTTATTTAGGGGTTAATTTTTATATATTTTATTTCTCAAAAGACAATTGTAATTTTCATTAGTAATTATAAATATTTCATTTTTTGACCTTTCACACGGTTTAGTTTGGACGGCCAAAGACTGTAAATATATATTATAATTTTTATATCTAAATTGATTGGCCGTATCCGAGAGAGAGTTGATTCTTGGACTTGTACTGTTGTCCAACAACACCACCATGACGCAGACAATGAGAGAGAGAGGAGAGAGAGAGACTGACCACAACATTGCCAGCACCTGATGGGAACCTTAGAGGTTGGCTGATTGTGTAATTTCCACCTTGAAGATCAATAACAACGCCTCCCAGGTCAGTGATTCCAGGCAGCAATTCAAGCCCGGATTTCAGTTGAAAAGCCTCCTCCACCGCTTTGAGTAGGGCAGCTGTGCTGTCCTCTGCTCCAGTCGGGTCTGCCCCGTACCCGATTGGGTAAAACACCCTCCCATTCTAATTAACAATACATAACACCACACATTAAGTAACTAATTAAACTTAATTTTAAAACCAAGTTAAATAAATAAAACAAGTGAAATGAACAATATCTATATATATATATATATCTCATACCCTGGTGACATTTGAAGCTTGAGCCAGTGAAAGGGGCAGCTTGGAATGATTGAATACTGACAGCATTTGTTGCCTGTAAGAAGAACATTTAGCTTCTTCTACCAAGAAGAAGAAGAAGAAGAAGAAGAAGAAACACAATGCTGCTGATGGGATGGGCCTCATTCTCTTTCAACTGCACTTTGCTCTTTCAAAAACAGAGAGAGCTGCTGTATATATATGTTGCTCTCCCCTGTTTCTTTTGCCTCCTTTAAGAGAGAGAGAGAGAGAGAGAGAGAGAGAGGATATATAATTTTGTTGAGGGTGTTTTGGGGTCTTGATATTTATATATGATTGTGGCTTTTAGTCTTGAGCCTAACAAAAGAATTATTAAAAAGAAAAGAAAAAAAGAAGGTATATTTTAGAAAAAAGAATAAGGGGAAAAGAAGAAAGGAAAGGAACAAAATTTCGGTCTTCCTTTCGGTTATTAATTTTATGGTTGGTAATTATCTATAGTCGTATTTATTTATTATATAATATTGTTGTCGTTAAAATTTATGTTATGTTATTATTACTATTATCACCATTTGTTTGGTTGGTTAAATTGCTAGCAACCTTTGTAAGCAAGAAATATGATGGAACTTTCATTAACCAAAAACAAATCAATAAATGTACTTTATTATCAATGGATGAATGGAAGAAAGAAGAGAAGTTAGGAATTTAAAATGGAGAATTACCATACCAGCACATGGGGTGGCACCGCCGTGGAAAAGCAGATTCACGTAGGAGACAATCTTGAGACAACCCAATAAATTACTCACTCCTTCCCCTTCTTAGCAAATGACAAAAAA